GGGGGGGGGGGGGGGGGGGGGGGGGGGAGGGGTGTAGTGCTGCTGATATAGGGGAAGGACAATGGAAGCTTATTTATAAAGATTCACAAAATCTTTGCCGGCACTCCAGCTGTTGTAGAACTACAAGTCCCATGATGCTTTGCAAGTAACTACAGGTCCCATGATGCATTGCACCCTGACAGCCACAGGCATGACTCCCAGTGGCAGAGGCATGTTGGGATTAGTAGTTTCAACCCAGCTGGAGTGCCGGGGTTGCCTACAGCTGCCCTAATGGTTCTCATAGAAAACATCCAAAGCGTTTCGAGGGCCAAACCACTCCCCCTCCATTGGGGCTTAAAGTCAGAATAGCCTAATGCTGTTGCCGCCCATGAGGCATTGCAAGGCTCTGACAGCCAGAGGCATGGTGGAATTTGTAGTGCTGAGGTTGCCCAACCCTGTAGTAATGAAAAGCCTGCGCTTTGATGAAGAGGGAGTGGCCCCCCAAAACGCGTTGGATGTTTTATATGTGAACCATTAGAGGGATTTGGACTCTTCTACCATTTGGTAGGGGGGAATACCCATGAGAGGACAGTCTTGTCTCTTACCGGAGCCAATGAGCTCGGTGAAAGTTGAATTCCCAGCACCTCTTAGATGTGTCCTATTGGAATGCATTGCATTAAGGCAGTCCAAATATTTTATCTGGTGCCCTAGGTAACGCCCAAATTTGATGCTGAGCCTCTATGAGTGAAAGGGGCGGGCCGGGGACAGTCAGGCTGGGGAGGAAAGCATTAGATGATGCTGGACGTCCTTCAGCCAGGAAATGAGGCGGGCTCTATGTGACTTGCTGCAGCTTCTAATGCACATTGTGAGGAGCTCGCAGTGTGCAGTGACATCAGAGTGAGGAGAGGAGTCGGTACGACTGTACAAGACTGAAAGGGAGGCCGGAGTCCAGCTTTATATCCAAATGTTCAATGTTCTGTATTGCAGACGGAGGGATTCCGCTACCCCAGACCGTCCTCGGTTCCCCCTTCGCCAGCCACCTCCCGCCCCTCCAGTCCTCATTCTAGCGATGATGAGGAAGAAGAGGACGAGGATGTGAGATATGACGAGGAGGAGGAAGCGGAGAGGGATCGTCAGAACATCAAGTCGTCATACGGCATGGGCCCGTTTCCCCACGGAAGGAAGAAGAAGCACGGCGAGTACAGGAACTGAAATACGACACCGCATGAGGCAGATATCTGCCTGGGCCTGAAATGGGAGGGCCTGCAGCATGGTGGCACACAACACACAGCGCCCCCCGGTGGCAGAGATCCGTCGGGTCATGTTATGATGTCTGTAGTGTAGATGGGAAATGATTGTATATTTGTAGTAAATGGACGTTTGTGTGTTCACTGCAGTGTGTGCGTCTCCTCTTCTTCTATACTGGAATTGTCACAACAGGCCGGATTTGATGCGTTATGGTGATTCACACCATAACACAGTGTTGGGTTAGATGGCCGTCATGTGAATGCATGAAAACAGTCCTCCTGAAGCCTGTTCATTTTGGTGTTGGTACCGTACTGATATGCCATGCAGATCCTGAGAATTATAAAGCCAATAAGAGAGAGACTCAGCCACATAATTGGCGCTAACACAACGCGGTGCAGGCGTTCCTGTATTATGTCCCTCAGGAAAACATTTTAAATAGGTTTATTGCAGCGGATTCCCCAGCTCACACCCGGCTGTATATTTTCCATTCATTAAAGTGTGAGGCCTCATTCACACCAGTGGCCGTGCGTTATGCTACCGTGTGCGTTGCGCACCTACGCTGTGATAGGTTGCAGCAAGGCATTGCAGTGTTTCAATTTTTTTTTCTTTTTTAAACTTTATTGAAAGTTGACAAACTTTCCATTCAGCCCTGTGCACTCTAGAATATAGAAGATCACATGCTTTCTGTTTGTCTGAAGAAAGGACCACAAGGTCTCGAAATGTCGCTGTCGCTTAGCAATGTGACACTTTTATGGTCAATAAAGAAGTATGACTACAAAAAAAGTTTTAGGGAGTGCAAGTGACTTTCCACCAGTTTCAGCCCTGTGCACAATGTGTCTTTATGCTGTATGGTGTGAACAGCAGGGCACATAGAGACCCCATTCCTCTCTGCATCCTTGTGCTTATCAATGCAGCACAGGGGACCTCCGCAGCCATAAGTCCAGCCAAAACTTTTTTTTACCTGGGGAAGGATTACAACCCCTTTTAGGTTTTTACGGCTATCTGGGGCTCCGTTTGAGAGATTCCCCCTCACTTCCTGTCTGGTGACGATGGTTTACTAGACAGGAGGAGAAGGAAACACTGCAACAGGCTCACAGGTAAACATAGAAATCTAACAGAGGTTCTAACCTTCCCCACTCCAAAAAGTTTTGGCTGGACATACACCTTTGGGGCTGATTTATATTTCCTCTGCCCCGCATATAGCTGGGCAAATGCCGTTCACATTGTGCTACTGCCACCAGATGTCGCTGAGGAGCACAGAAAATCCATATGCTCCTCAGCGCCATCTAGTGGTGAAGCCGTGCGAATGTCATTTGCCCATGTAAATGCAGGCGGAAGAGGTGTAAATCAGCTCCTTTAATAACTGCAAGGGGTATAGAGATGAATATTAAATAATTTGATTAAATAAAGGGATGAGGGAAGACATGCGGGTATCTACCTTTAGCGAACATTGAAAGGAAAGCAACATTTACAAAAATGCAAATGGTTCCCCCTAAATCAGGGGGTAGGCAAGCCAGCTGTTGTGGAACTACAAGTCCCATGAGGCATTGCAAGACTGACCGTTACAGGCATGACTCCCATGGGCAAAGACATGCTGGGATTTGTAGTTAAATTTAACAATCAGATTGCACAATGTAACCAAACAGCTGAGATGAAATTTATTCTCACATTTCTGCTGATATAAAATACATTTTCTATATTTTACAATCATTTCCTGGCTGGGGGGTTCAATGATCGTTAAAAGGAGAAGTCGGAAGGCCTGAAATGGAGTATTCTGTACAGGGCGGAGAGTTTGCTGGCGGCTGGTTAGAGCTGGATAGATGCCCGCCAGGGGCGTGGGGTTACAGAGGGTGTTATAGGGGGTGTGATTTCACATGGGGGTGGAGCAGTCAGCGTGTGGCATGGCTCCTTGTGGCGACTTCACCAACTGAACAGCGACTCCGGTAAGTAGCTCGCTTGGTCCACCGTGCCGTCTTCAGCTGCAGATCAGGAAAATAAATGTGTATTAGAAATTCAGAAACATCACAAAGGCAAGATATTAGATGACCGTGCAACCTAAAATTGATGTTTCAGCTGGAGAGTTAAACCTTTGCTCTTAGCAAGTCTGGAACCGCATTCCCAGGTCTGCACAACACAGATGGCAGCTATGAGCGAAATGTACTCCATTACTGGCCATGGACGACTCTTATACTGGCCATAGACAACTCTTATACTGGCCATAGACAACTCTTATACTGGCCATAGAAGACTCTTATACCGGCCATAGACGACTCTTATACTGGCCATAGACGACTCTTATACTGGCCATAGAAGACTCTTATACTGGCCATAGAAGACTCTTATACTGGCCATAGAAGACTCTTATACTGGCCATAGAAGACTCTTATACCGGCCATAGACGACTCTTATACCGGCCACAGACGACTCTTATACTGGCCATAGAAGACTCTTATACCGGCCATAGAAGACCCTTATACCGGCCATAGACGACTCTTATACTGGCCATAGACGACTCTTATACTGGCCATAGAAGACTCTTATACTGGCCATAGAAGACTCTTATACTGGCCATAGAAGACTCTTATACTGGCCATAGAAGACTCTTATACCGGCCATAGACGACTCTTATACCGGCCACAGACGACTCTTATACTGGCCATAGAAGACTCTTATACCGGCCATAGAAGACTCTTATACCGGCCATAGAAGACTCTTATACCGGCCATAGAAGACTCTTATACAGGACTTATAACGGCCATAGAAGACTCCTACACCGGCCATAGAAGACTCTTATACAGGACTTAGTAGACTGTTATACTGGCCATAGACAGCTCTCATACTGGCCATAGACGGCTCTCATACTGGCCATAGACGGCTCTCATACTGGCCATAGGCAATTCTTATACTGGCCATAGATAGTTTTTATACTGATCATAAATTACATTTATACTGGCCATAGACGACTCTTATACTGGTCATAGACGGGCCGGCTCTCATACTGGCCATAGATTACTTCAATTCAAGCTGTGGGTGGCCCAGCATGCATTAAAAAATCAAAAGAGCCAGATGGAAAATGATCACCTGATCAGTGACACTTCCTATCAGACGCAGTCACTATTAGGGTATTCCGGCCGCCATGAGTCCCAGGGCTGCTGAATACAATAGCCAACATGGGAGATCCCTACATACATACATACATATTATTTGGCACGGATGGGGGAATTGACTGATTTTATTCACACAAGTACATGTGAGACACATCAATACACGGAGCGGCATTCTATATAATGTCCCTGGTATCCCTCAGGATAAGCCGGTGCCCGCAGTGTCAGTCTGGGGCCCCCCCAATGACAGACATGTTCTGGCTTTTCTCAGATTCCTCTTGTGTCAGACTGAAAATGACATTTGTATATCAGAGGTCAGGTGACACCTGCGGACACTTCATATATAATAAAGTGAGGTCTACCTACCTTCCTCCTGGGCTTTCTGCAGAGAGCTTAAAAACATGGCTGCCGCCTCCGATATGGTGATGGGACTGGTATTCCGACTGCGGGTCTCTATGAGAGGAGAACATTCACCCATTACAAATCAATATCCGACCCATCATCCAACCCGCCGACCCATCATCCAACCCGCCGACCCATCATCCAACCCGCCGACCCATCATCCAACCCGCCGACCCATCATCCAACCCGCCGACCCATCACCCAACCTGCCGGACCCATCATAATGGCCGATGACTCATATCATACACATGCAGGTTATGCTTCCTTCTCTTTTTTTTGTGCCCTGAAATTCTCTGTGTGCAGTGACTATGGCTGCTGACTGAAAACATCACATCTAATGCTGCCGCCATCAAACAATAAAATATCATCACAAGGCACCGTACAGCTGGACTGTCCCATGTATGGAGGGATCTGCAGATCTGTACTGCGACACGGTGGTGAGTGTTCTCAGATGGAGCAGACAAGTATTGTACTGGTCATAAAGGGATTCCGATTTGGATGGAGCGGAGTTATAGCCTCTGCCTGGTTTTTATTTCTGTGTGCCTGTTAGATGGATTTTCTATAAGGGGAAATCTAACACCTGATAGTTGTCACTGCAGCAGGAAACGAGGGTGAATCTTCCCAATGGGGACACAGATGACTATAAGAACATAAGAAGGGATCTTTTCCTTCCCCAATCTACCCAACGCTAAAAAGAAAATTGGGCTTGAGAATCCGCATCTCAGACAATGAGAGCAGAAACCGGATTGGCTGCTGGTGGCGTCAGTGCGCTCAAAGAAGATAAAGAGGATTACCCAGCTGGAGTCTGTCGTAGAGATCCTTCCTCTGACTCTCATCGGAAATGAACCGCCGGCCCTCTGCAATGCAGAATCAAAGCACGGTTATTGGTGGTGAAGCACCTAACTGGAGCGTAAAGGAACACTCCACTTTCACTATATCATGAAGACAACATTTATCATTGCGACACACACACACGTGGTTCATTTAAAGTTACTACAAATGACATTTTTTTCCAGTCTGCGAGATCTGATTTTCTATAACATGCCAGAAACTCAAAAGAGGCTTCCTTGCAACTATGACATGCTGGGGGCAGTCTGATAAGCTTACTGGAAAGCCTGGACAGGGTTTGAAGTCAAATTACAGCCATGCCCTGTAAAAGCAGTTTTATTTTTGGTGCGATACCTTTAGGGATGTCAACATTTATTTATTTATTACATGTATTTATATAGCGCCGACATTTTACACAGCACTTTACATAGTTGCACATTCACATCAGTCCCTGCCCTCAAGGAGCTTACAATCCAAGGTCCCTACCTTACATACATACTTAGCCAATTTAGAAATGAGGCAATTAACCTTCCAGCAAGTCTCTGGAGTTCAGGAGGAGACACACGCAAGCACAGGGAGAACATGCAAACTCCATGCAGATAGTGACCTGACCAGGATTTGAACCGGGGAACCTCACTGCTGCAAGTACTACACCACTGTGCTGCCTATTACAGTGGTACCCCGGTTCACAAACTTAATTCGTTCCACGATTCTGGTTGCAAGCTGAAATGGTCGCGAACCGAATCAAACTGTGATCAGATCGCAACCTCATCTAGAGGAAGCCACGACCACGTGTCAGAGCAGGGAAGATGGCTGCAGTCGTGTTCGTCACCTGATGCGGAGTTCGCGATGGGAAGCAAAATTTGGCCAAACTTCCTGTTCGCGAACCGAATTGTTCGCAGACAGAAGCGTTCGTGAACCGAGGTACCACTGTATAATATTATATTACCCTGTTTCCCTGAAAATAAGACCTAGTACTATTTTTGGGAATTGCTAAAATATAAGACCTACCCCGAAAATAAGACCTGGTTGTTACCATTCCCAGGGCCGGTGGTGGCATAAGGGGGAACTTGAAGAACCGCGGGAGAGAATCAGCGCTGCCAACGAAGCCAGCGCTAGAGGAAGCGAGGTAGCGCAGGGAGCTGAGCCGCATAAGCCGATGCTTCCTCTTTAGCGCCGCCTCCTGTCACAGGCGGAGTGATATCAAATGCACTCCGCCTGTGAGGAATCCATAGTGAAAGCGTGCTTCGCTCATTCTGGCCAGCGATTGGTTAGCAAATTGCTCTTGGAAAGGTACGGCACCCCTGATTGCCCTGATCACCATATTTTTGTACATGAATACACGTAGACTTTTCTACATGAATAAGTGTGGATTGTTGTACATTCAAAAAAGAAAAATAAGACCTACCCCGAAAATAAGACCTAGTGTGTTTTTTTTAGCCCAAAAAATATAAGACAGTGTCTTATTTTCGGGGAAACATGGTATAGATTACCACACTGGTTCTTGCTCCTTAAAGAGAACCAGTCACCAATGGCCATCTGTAATAATATAAATCTCCATTCCTGTACTGGCCGTCCTATGTCCTCACTGAGTACAAACATTTCAAATACTGTCACATAACAAAGCTGAGGTCCAGATTATAGAAAAAAACTGAAGAATTTGTTATTAGGATTCTGCTCCATCAGCTCAGACAATGAGTCAGTTATCAGCCCTGAGCTCAGGCAGGAGACAGAACAGCTTCTAACGGGGCCTTACAGCCTGACACGCCTGCTATGACAGGGAGAGAATCCAAGTAAATAGCAACACACACAGTTACTCCAGAGGGACAAGACTGAGCTATTATACATTCTAATAATAAGTGGAGAATTGGGATTCTTTTTGCCCATTCCTGAATAATCTGCATCAAAATATCATCAGCCTTTGACTGGCGGTAACCAAGTTTCTATGAGAAAATATCTGCAGCATTTCCTTCACTATCATTGGATAAGAAGTTGTGTCACTAGGGGGTATTTATTGCCTATACACAGATGTGTGGAAGTTCTGCACTATCATGGCAGCTGGGGACAGGAAATGAACAACTCACGTGCTCCCTTTAGGTACAGCATGGCCTGTGGGGTCCAGTTCCGTCTCTGGAAATGGCTCTAGATAGGGGGAGAAGAGATATTGGAAAAGATGCACATACAGGTAAGTCAGCAGAAAGAAATGCCACAATGATCACTTACCTGCGGCAGAGACCCAGAGGGGGGGATAACCGAGGAGGACATTATGAGGAGGAGGGTACAGGCTGCTCGACACCCGCTGTCCTGAGTACACAGAGGATAAATATCAGATCAGGTACACCGGTCCCCGGACTTTATATGAATGACATTATTATTGTTAGAGGAGTCTTGTACTGTGCTAGACATCAACTCATGCAGAAATCAACGATTCCATCCCCACATCTTCATACACAGAGTCACAAAGAGAAGCGAAGAGATACAACTATTAATAAAATACAACTCCATTTTCATAATTGCATTATGCCTATACAAGGACCTGAAAGCGTGCAGTCTAAATACGTTTGCCATTAAAAGGAATCACCTAACCTCCAAAAGATTGCACGCTTTTGGGTCCTTGTATAGGCATTATGCAATGATGAAAACTGAGTTGTATTTTGTAAATAGTTGTACCTCATTGCTTCTCTATGTTACTTTGTGTGTAAATATTCAGGTTTGTAACCATAGAAACCAAAGTAACAAACAGAAGCGATGAGATACAACTATCAATAAAATACAACTCCATTTTCATAATGCCTATACAAGGACCCAAAGGCTTGCAATCTTTTGGAGGTTAGGTGATTCCCTTTAATGGCAAACCTATTAAGACTGCACGCTTTTGGGTTCTTGTATAGACATTATACAATTATTAAAATGGAGTTGTATTTTATTAATAGTTGTATCTCATTGCTTCCCTTCATTCCTTTGGTTACTATGGTTTCAAACCCAAATATTCATACACAGAGCAAGAAAGGGAAGCACTGAGATACTACTATTAATAAAATACAACTTCAGAATTGTATATGGACTATACAAGGACCTGAAAGCGTGCAGTCTAAATAGGTTTGCCATTAAAGGGAATCACCTAACCTCCAAAAACATTGCAAGCTTTTGGGTCCCTTGTATAAGCATTGCTGTATAGACATTATACAATCATGAAAATGGAGTTGTATTTTATTGATAGTTGTATCTCATTGCTTCTTTGTGTTACTTTGGTTACTATGGTTTCAAACCTCTAAATATTCACACACAAAGTAACAAAGAAATGCAATGAGATACAACTATTAACAATGTGCAACTCGTAATTTTTTCATAATTGTTTAATAACCTATACAATGCCTATACAAGGATCCAAAAGCTTGCAGTCTAAAATCACCTAACCTCCAAAAGATTGCAAGCTCTTGGGTCCTTGTATAGTCATGATAAAATTCCTAAACTTGTCAAGAAAATGTGAGTTGTATTGTATTAATAGTTGTATCTCACTGCTTCTCTTTGTTACTCTGTGTGTAAGAATTTGGTTTTCTGTACCGTTTACAGAATTGTATAAAGCTTGAAGAAGGAAACTTAAGGTGCCCATACACCTTGCGATTATCATTCAATTTCCGAACAAAATTGGGTCTTCGTGCGATAATCGGCCAGGTGATGGGAAGTGAACAACCAGAAATTACTGTACAACTGGCCGAATTTTGTCTTTCGCGCAGGCTAGAAAACGGTTTTCAAATCGTACGAAAATCGATGGATTACTGACGTTTTTGTACGGTAAAAAAACCGCAACAAGAACACTGCACATGCGCAAACGAAAATCCGTTCTGTCAATCGCCGTAAATTGGTCAGTTAGTATTGCTAACGAATGATAACTGCAGTTGTGCGGAAATGGAACGACGGTTAAATGACGGGATGAAAAAAATCGTACGATAGTTGTAAGGTGTGTGGGCACCTAAGGGAGGTCTTGAGACGTTGCATCTCTGATAGCTAATAAAGGGGATCACTTAAACTCTAAACTTTCTGCATTACCATTGTTACCAACAAGAACACGGCTGGATGTTGTATAGCAGAAATAAATACATAAATATGTTTGAGCCTTACTGTGTCAGGGCACGGCACTGTGCAAGACCCCGGCACTATGTTAGAGAGCAGCACTTTGAAAAATCACAATACAAAGACAGACACTGTGAGAGTGGTGACCTATATCAAGGCACTGTGTAAGAACACGATCTGCAAGGAGTTTGCATGTTCTCCCTGTGTTTGCTTCCTCGGGGTACTCCGCTTTCCTCCCACACCCCAAAGACATGCTGGAAGGTTAATTGGCTCCTGTCTAAATTGACCCTGCTATGTATGCATGTGAGATAGTGACTTTGGATTGTAAGCGCTTTGAGGGCAGGAGCTGATGTGAATGTGCACTAAAGCTCTGTGTAAATTGTTGACGCTATATAACTACCTGTAATTAATAAATAATCAAATAAGAGCACTGACTTATATCAAGGCACTGTTAATGAGTATTGACCTATGTCAAGGTATTGTGTAAGAGCACTGACCTATATCAAGGCACTGTGTAAGAGCACAGCACAATTGCATGGAACCATGTCAGGGCACGGCACGGTATCAGATTATGTCAGCACCTTTAAGAGCTCATTTAAACCAGAGGTGATCTGTGTGCAGTATCACATCCACCTCTTCACATGGGTTGAAATGCAGTTCAGAACCGGATTACTAAAATATATTCTCCATATTCTTTTAATCAAATAGTGATATAGAAAATGATATGATTGGCTCAGGGTTCTCTGTACTGCACTGCAGAATGTGTCAGAGCTATAGAACTGTATAATAATAATAATGTGTGACTGGGGTGGAATATTAGAGTGTAAGCTCCTCTGGTGCAGAGACTGATGTGACTAGCTCAGTGTTCTCTGTACAGCACTGCGGAATATGTCAGAAACATAGTAATGAAATAAATAATAAAAATAATGTATAATAACTTTTGGATAACCTGTAGATCAGTATAGATGGATGGATGAATAAATTAATGAATCAATGTATAAATACATTCATTACGTTAATGAATGGATGCTCTGGTCAATTGATGAATAATTATTTCTTGTAATTGGGTGTTAAAGAAAGACAGACAAGGGAAAGCTGCAGAAGTGTTAAAGGAATTATAGAAAGGAACCACTTTAAAAGCTTTTTATTTTCTCTGTGTAGAGGAAACAAGTCAGCCCCCCCCCATTTGTAATATATAAAGATTAAAGTCCAGCTGACTGGCTGCTGGCTGTTAGATTTTCTATATTCCCATCTCAAAGAATTTTGCACAGGTGAAATCTTGGAATATTATCTGTGTGTTTTTACTTTACTGATGTACAGAATATAATTGTTCTTAAATGTTTCTATAGTTTAATGTGAGAAATAGTCCAGCAGATTGGAAATCCCCTGTTTTCTTCTGAAGCTTCATTGGAAAGAAATGTATTTATATGATTGAGAGATCAAGATAGAGAGAGATCGAGAGGGAGAGAGGGAGAGAGACCGAGAGGGAGAGAGATCGAGAGGGAGAGAGATCGAGAGGGAGAGAGATCGAGAGGGAGGGAGAGAGATCGAGAGGGAGAGAGAGAGATCGAAAGAGAGATTGAGAGATCGGGAGAAAGAATGGGAGAGAGATCGGGAGAGGGAGAGATTGAGATTGAGAGAGGGAGAGAGAGATGGAGAGAGAGAGATGGAGAGAGAGAGGGAGAGAGAGATCGAGAGAGAGATCGAGAGGGAGAGAGAAGGATCGAGAGGGAGAGAGATCGAGAGAGAGATAGATCGAGAGAGAGAAAGATAGATCGAGAGAGAGACAGATAGTTCGAGAGAGAGACAGATAGTTCGAGAGAGAGAGAGACAGATAAATCGAGAGGAAGAGAGAGAGAGAGAGAGAGATAGAAATATATAGATTGACAGAGAGAGAGAGACTGAGAGAGAGATAATAAAGAGAAGATATATAGATAGATAGATAGATAGATAGATAGATAGATAGATAGATAGATAGATAGATAGATAGATAGATAGATAGATAGATAGATAGATAGATAGATTTCCTTAGCATTTAGCAATGAGTTTTGCAATGAACTTACAAATTATTTCAAAAACCCTCCTGAACAAGCCATGAAGGATCACCTGACTTATCTCTTCAAATTACTTTTTGGAAATATAAATGAATAAGACTTGGCACTGGGGGAAAACTCTCCATCATCACCATTCCCAGAAGAAAGATCAGAATAAAACACCTTCTATTGTAGATTGTGGAGGACTCACCTTCATGTTCTGGAGGACTCTGGTCGCTGCTTCTGGAGACTTTGGTGGACGATGATGCCTCTATTTGGTTCAGGTCTTAAATCTGGTTTTAAATCATCCGTGTTCAGCCCTCCCTCCCCTCTCGTGTCCTGGGGATTCATTGGGACTGGTGGGACCACTTGTCAGACGTTGATTTGGAAGAGGTGGAACCACGGGCCCTCCTCCGGGGATAGCTGGTCTCCTAGGAGTGGGCGATATGATTGAGGGATGGACAGTAAAATGTTCCATACTTTGAAGAGATCAAACTCCCCGATACCCACGTCACTGCTGAGGCCGGAGATCAATATCCACAGCTGGAAGCTAAAGGTGATGAACTTAATGAGATTGGACGTGGTCAAATGATTGTATATCAAGATGTCAGTGCTAATAGCCAACGAGACGGCGGAAGATTCCAGTATCATCCAGAGAGACGCTGGAAATGTTATAGAATTTCTGTAATTAAGAGCAAATCTGACATTTCACCGCAGAGCCAGATCTGAACACAGAAAACAGGGACATTTACCTCGTAGAATTGCATTCAAAAGAAAAATGTTTTCTATTCTAAATTATTTATTTCTGTATCCCTCAATATCTGACTTTTCTGTTCTAGAAATAAAGATGCTCTGCGGTCTGCATCCCGGATAGTTCTCATTTGTTTTCAGTACTTGCTGCTTTGTAGATATCATTCCCAATAATGACACAGATCCCTATAACAACACAGATCCCTATAACAACACAACGCATATCCCTATAACAACACAGATCCCTCTAACAACACAACACATATCCCTATAACAACACAGATCCCTATAACAACACAACACAGATTCCTATAACAACACAGATCCCTATAACAACACAACACAGATCCCTATAACAACACAGATCCCTATAACAACACAACGCATATCCCTATAACAACACAGATCCCTCTAACAACACAACGCAGATCCCTATAACAACACAGATCCCTATAACAACACAACACAGATCCCTATAACAACACAGATCCTTATATTAACACAACACTGATCCTTACAACAACACAGGTCCCTCTAACAACGCAGATCCCTCTAACAACGCAGATCCCTCTAACAACGCAGATCCCTCTAACAACGCAGAACCCTCTAACAACACAGATCCCTCTAACAACACAGATCCCTCTAAAAACGCAGATCCCGCTGACAACCCAGATCCCTCTAACAAGGCAGATCCCTCTAACAAGGCAGATCCCTCTAAAGGTGCCCATACACCTTACAAATATCGTTCGACAATACGATAATTCATACGATAATCGGCCAGTTGATGGGAAGTGCATGATCGCAATTACTGTACAACTGGCCGGATTTGGTTGAACGGACAGACTAGAAAACTTCTGTAGAAACGGATGAAATTCGATGGATTTGTGGCGTTTTCGTACAACGAAAATCGCAACATGAACACTGCACATGCGCAAAGAAAATCTGTTCTCTCGATCAACAAAAATCGGCCAGTTAGTATTGCTAACGAACGATTATGGAAATCTACATTGGTCTGGGCATGATGGGGTAATTTGAGCAGAAATTGAACAAAGGTGCGATGACGGGACAAAGAAAACTGAACAATAATTGTAAAGTGTGTGGCCACCTTTATACACAGATCCCTAGAACATTCAACTAGACAAAACCTGTATAAATGGCTGTCAGGGCACACCACAAAAAGCGGAATCAGAGATGGAAAGGAAAGCTCCAAAACTAGACAAACCGGAAACAAGTCAGGATGATGGTCATCAAAGTGAGTGCGAGCGCCAGCTCCAAAACACCTCAAATGAAAATACATGTTAATGAGAATATAGAATATATTTTTAGAGGTGAATAATAAAGTGACCACAAAATGTTATTGTGGGAGGCGAGAGGAGAGAGAGAGAGAGAGAGAGAGAGAGAGAGAGAGAAAGAGAGAGAGAGAGAGGGAGAGATGAGAGAGATGACAGAGCAAGGGGGGGGGATAATAAAGAGGGGGGAGAGAGAGATATGAAAGAGAGAGATGAGAGAGAGATGAGAGAGAGATTATAAAGAGAGGGAGAGAGATATTATCAAGAGAGAGAGATGAGAGAGAGAGAGAAAGAGGAGAGAGAGATTATAAAGAGAGAGAGAGAGAAAGAGATGAGAGAGAGATTATAAAGAGAGAGAGAGAGAAAGAGATGAGAGAGAGATTATAAAGAGAGAGAGAGAGAGAGAGAGAGAGAGAGAGAGAGAGGAGAGGGATTATAAAGAGGGAGAGAGAGAGGGGGGAGAGTGGTTATAAAGGGGGAGAGAGAATATATAAAAAGATAGATAGATCTATAGATAATAAGGAGAAGATAGGTTGAGAGATTGATCCATCGGAGGGCACAGAGACGATTCAGTTTTCATTTAAGGTACAGTCAACATAGATAACCAATACTGGTTCCCTGTGTAGCAGCATACAAGCGTCGTCCATCAGCGGAGCGCACTTTAAACTTTAAATTAAACGCACGCCAATTGAGCGGCGTAACAGAGCGTCTAAACGGTGGAAAGACTTGAGGCTAAATAATATGACCTTCTGTACTGTCAGGAGTAATTCCAGGCCCTGTCATAGGGGGGGAGGCGGCACACAAACACCCAGCGCTCCTTCTGTTGCCTGTCAGACGTTGATTTGCACAATTTAGAAGTCTACCAAAGTGCTGCGCAGTTTACTGTCACCGCAATAAAGAGGAAATGATTCTGCCAATAGCCTGATTCAGGGTTTTTTCTGTTTTTTTCTTACAGTTTCTATGGATAGGGAGTCACATAAGGAGCATAGGCCCGTAGATTCAGACACAACACAGGGGCTGATTTATTAAAGCTGGAGAAATGTGTGCAGTGAAATGTAGTTGCTGCTTATAGTTGTTTATTGTTCCATTGAATGAAAGGTACACTCCCGCACGTACAGTGATCCTGCGGCCAGGCTATGGACAGTCAAGTACAGTGCTCAGCATAAATGAGTAACCCCAACAAATTTGTCCGACAACCTTTCCTTTCAGAATCAACATTTTCTATGGGACACTATACTACACAATACTCCCACAAATGCAGGACATTGATTGCAACCAAGATTTGTTCAATTTGCAACCACAAAAAAAGTATTTTTCCTAACAAATTCATTCAAGACCATGTTGCAAAAGTAAATACACCCCAATGAAAGTCATAGGAGCAAAGCTAAATTTTAGACAACAAAATCCTAATTAACAAGAATTCAACTACAGGTGAGTATAATGATTCATTAAACAGGCGTCCAGCAGACAGGAGATTATAAAAGGGTGTTACTTAACCCTTTCATGACTGATGCCTTTATTTCATTTTTTGCGCCCATGTTATATTCCACATTTTAGGCCTGAAAATTACTTAAAACCCCCAAACATTATATATTTTCTGAAAGCCAAGACCGTATAGAATAAAACAGTGGCAGTTGCAAATATTTATGTTGCACGATATTAGCGCAACTCCTTATCAAACCCCACAATTTAGTGAAAAATTTACTTAAATGCCCCAAAACACAATAAAATACACATTTCTGTAATAATATATAAAAGATGAGGTTACAACGAGTAAATAGAGACCCAACATGCCCAGGTTAAAAATTGTGTGCGTCCGTGAAACGGCGACAAACCACAGTACCCCAAAAAGTCCATGGACGACTCTTTAAAGGCCCCCACAGGTCATCAAATTAGAGATACTCAAAAATACTGGCCCTAGAATTATTGCTCTCACTCCGGCGTGCAAGGTGATACCCAACATGTATTGCGTTTTCATACGTACGCGCACCCGACACGTGTTTACCCGGCGTCGCACGTTCTCGCCGGGAGGGGAACTTGAAAAAAATGTTTACATTATTTTTAGATTTATTTTATTTAATTTTAATTTAATTTTCAAAACTGTTATTTTTTTTAACTTTACTTTGATTGCTATCACATAGGGGGGCTTACAAGCCACCCATGTGATAGCAGATGGTGGTGACAGGTACTCTTTAAGGTGATTCTGGGGGTCCAAAAGACCCCCAGTGTCACCTTTTTTTTGGGGGAGTTTTCTTATTTGGATAAATTTGGTACTGCTAATCCTCCCTGGGATTTTGGGAGATAGAGCGTACGCCTAGGGATCCTGGGTCGGCGATCCCCCCAAATGAAGGAGAAAATACGGGACTGGAGTCTATGGAGTATGGGGGCCGGGACACGTACTGGAAGGACCCTAAAGAGGTACAGGATTTTTGGCAGAAGGATCATCTTAACCGCAGCTATCCTGCCTAGCCAGGAGAGGCGGGATAGCTGCGCAACATTTGCGATAGTTTATTCACCATATCTGGATAGTTAGTCCTGTATAAAGCTTGATAGGACGAGGTTAGCTTAATCCCCAGGTAGGGGAGGTGGGAAGAGCACCATGAGTATTTATATTTTTCCTGTAGGGACATTAGTAGATTGGGGGATAGGGATATGTTCAATGCTAAAGATTTAGAGTCATTGGCCCCAGTGTCACCTTTACACTCCAAAGAAGCTATTGAAGTGCAGATCGCACTTCAATAGCTTATAGCTGGGCTTCAAACTCCCAGCACCGACAGCTATAGGACCGGAAGTGATGCAATCTACATCGCTTCCGGTCCCATAGAACGGGGAGGGGATCGACAAACGGAGGATCGTCCATCTCCTCCCCAGCTCCCCGCCGACACCAGAGAAGCCGGTCCCAGGCCCATAGGAGGGGCAACGGAGCCCGGGAAGCACGGCGGGGGTGTCGGGCAGGGGGGCGGCCCCTTTACAGGACTGTAGAAGCGATCTGGCGACAGCTGAGTTGCCAGAATCGCTTCTATTGTAAAGCCGACAGTCGCAAGTTTAAACAAGTCCCGGCGGCTTTTGCTGCCCCGATGCTGGTGACGTTCACTATACGTTGCCAGTCATTATTATTATTATTATTATTATAATACAGGATTTATATAGTGCCAATAGTTTGCACAGCGCTTTACAATATAAGGAAGACATTACAGTCACAATACAATTTAAGACAAGATGGTAAGGAGGGACCTGCCC